TATAACAAAGCCTAACCCTACAAAATTTCCTCTTGAAAGAGAACATTCTAGGGATGTACTCACGGTGCACTTGTGTTCAGCTCCAAATCAAAAGGCAACCTGTCAGATAATGTAAGTTCCCATATAACCACTCAGTCCAGCTACCTATTAAAAACTTCATGTGGGGCAGCCCCAGTGGCTCAGCGGTTTAGCGCCGCCTTCAGCCCGGGGTGTGATCCTGGATCCTGGAGACCCGGGATCGAATCCTATGTCGGGTTCCCTGCATGGAGCCTGCTTCTCCCTCTGCCTGTGTCTCTGCCCAACGCACCTCCCCCCACACACACCGTGTCTGTCATGAATAAATAAATAAAATCTTAAAAAAAAAAACACTTCATGTGAATGAAAGGGATCCCCCAAAAAAGAAGATTCTTTGCTTCCCTGAAAATCTCTTAAAGCTTCAGAGCAGAAGGCTAATTCTCTAGGAACAGAGAAACCGTAAAATAAATCAGCTGCAATCAGGACCCTCTGGATCTGTCAGAGCCTCTGGGTCTCTATTTTAAGAGGCAAAGGGCTAGGAGGCAAGGGCCGGCCCAGGGAAAACAGCTTAAACAGGACTGAAGAACAGAAACGCAAAGTCAACTGCAGGTGTACCCAGCACACGTGTCGGGCCATGGGCTGCTTGGCCCTTCCTGCAGTCCCAAAGCTGCCCCTGCTGCTCAGCACTTGGACACCTCCTCTGTGACCCTGAGCTGAGCTCACTGTGATGTGTCACACCAATGTCCTAACTAGTCACAGGGACTCTACTAATGAGGGAACCATAACCAGTATCACTTTACCAGGCACACAAGATAAGGAGTAAAGGGAATCAATGCCCCAGCAAACACAAGAAATTCCCACACTGGCGCTTACATCATTAGAATGATCTCCTCTTTCATTCACCTATATCACACTCTCACAGCACATAAATCACGAAAACCAACACTCAGAAATTGTTTATGGCATTTTAGCAACTCCTCCTAGAACACACGCTTCCTCTAGTAAAAATACCTATGGAAACTTCTTTCTGTCAAAATTTAAAAATGGTTATGTTTTGAACAGCCCCTCTTTTCCACAGGACTAAACTCCAAGGGAGGGAATGAAGAACAGCTTGCAAACCATCTAGTACTAGCAAGGGTGTACCTTTACAAACACTCCACTGAGATGCTGATGGCGCCTCACTGACAATCAAAAGTAAGAATAAGACCCGGGTTCTTTTCTTTCTTTGGAGGAAAGTATGTATTATGAAGCCAGTACTGGAACAAAGTCCCTTTTACTGCTAAAGACGATTATTATAGACTTTTCTGTTATAATTACAATGAATCTGGACTGCAAATTTCTCTTCTGCTCAACAAAAAAACTTGTTTTAATAGGAGTTTCTTTCTAAAAATAGCTCAAGTACTCAGTTCTGTTTTCCCTTCTTACATTCTTTTCCTACTAAATGTACCACTGAAACATTTCCTTTCATTGTTGACACCTTAGGTCATTTGGATTTAAAAATCAGACTATACATAATAACAAAGAAGTCTTTGAATAAAGCCTGCAAAATGGGAAAGTGGTATTTGAGGGAATGCCTCCCTCTGCTCACAGAGTTGATCTGGACGTGGATGCCTGGGGAGCAGCTACCACCTAACTTATTAGAATTGTTTCAGTAAAACCAATATTCCTACAGGGGATGTGATTTATGTGTTAACTGATTTAAAAAATGTCCTGTCTAGTTCTGTTATAAGCATGTTGTTTGTCATGAAGTCAGTGTACTCAGAATTAAAACACATCTCAAACTAAGAAGGTTGCTTCAGGTTTAATTAATCTTTAGTTTTCTTCAGTCTACATTTAAGTTGACAATGACTTGTTAAATTAAGAGCAGTTAAGATTTTAAAAATTTCATGACCTTTGGGTTTTTTTTTGGTAACTATCTTCCAGAGGATGCTTTCAATTACTTTGGAAAACCTTCTTCCTAAATTAATTTTTTAAGTGCTTCTCTTTAGGGGTATATGGGTCTATTTTTAAACATAAAATCCTCTAAAAAATTAAAACTGTCCATCTATACATTTTACAAAGTTATATGACACTCCCATTATTTCTCTATATAAACTTGTAGGTCACACAGTAAGTATAACAGGAATCTTTCAACTTTTTTTTTCCCTAAGAGTTAGGGTACCGTAGAAATAAAGCTCAAAAAAAATAAGTAAAATAAAAATAAAAAAAGAAAAAGCTCAATGAGACAACCATTCCATTAATCAAATATTCTAATAGATAAAAATAAGGGATAATCTACAGACTGCTTTTGCAAAGATAAAACAGTAAGAATCATGCACTCTCTCGGAAAAACCAAGTAAGACAGGTTCCTTGCAGTAGGATACACGTAAAGAAAAACCACCATTCTTAGAATCCTCTGAAGCTCCCACCCCAAAGTTTCCAGTTTCCCCAAGAGATTAAAAAATTACTATAGGAAGATTTAAGGAGAAAAGAACAAAGAGAAATCTTAAAAATCCACCCACTACTTACAAGCACTTTCAAAGGAAATCTGAGCCGCAATTCTTCTGGAGACCGCTCTCCGGACCATAAACACAATCTGAAGTCTAAAATAGATATCCTATCACATTAGGCCGAGAAGTCACATTTCAGCTTACTAACTTCTACTTGGGTAAACAGTTTTACAACTCATAGAACAAACGCTGGCTAAAATTAACCGCACCGGCACAGCAGGCAGGAACTCGCTGATTTGCATCATGTGTGCTGGGATTTATTCACTAGGACAACATTGGTGTCCTCTTAATGGGAAATTCGGCCAAGGGGCGTGCTCTGCTGAACAATACATAGCATCATGATTATGCTAATTACTGAATTCAGCCCAATAATACTAACTTCTTTTAAGTTGTTTTCGCAAGTACTGACAAAGAGAAGAGTAAGCTCTTTTTCACAACAGGCATTCTCTTGATATTTAAGCACATTCAAATCAGACAGAACTTGGACAACAAGGTGGCAGTGCTGTATACTCCTCACAAGAAAAGGCAAAGTAAAAGGACATTCTGTCCGATTCTTTACAATCGTGTGATTAGATGTGGTACGATGTTAAATTAAATAGGCATCATACATACAAATAAGTCTGCCAACAAGTTCCCTTCAATGAAAGCTTTTTTCTTGATATATAATGAACTAATATCATTTACTTGCTTTCTGACTTTGTCTTTTGCACCTCCCAAGGAGTTGCCATGAGGGTACAGGTTCATTAATAAATTACAACTGAGAACAAACATTTCAAATATTTGCAAAAGGCATCGTCCTTGGCAAGAAGCACTTTGAAGTGCATTTAACTGCCTGGGTGGCTGGAATTGGTAAGTTGTCCTCTCTAGGTGGCTGGCCATCTACAAAGCATGTTGAAACTCAAGTTAACAGCTAAAGACCCCAAGCACACACCTGATATTCACAAGAAAATTTGAAGGAACACAGAACTTTCTTTCCAATATATACACACTTCCTCAATACGTACAACTTTTATCAAAGCCACAGATCTGCTTAACATCTACTCAAGATGGTTCAGATTAGTTTGTTTTAGGGGATCCCTGGGTGGCACAGTGGTTTGGCGCCTGCCTTTGGCCCAGGGCGCGATCCTGGAGACCCAGGATCGAATCCCACGTCGGGCTCCCGGTGCATGGAGCCTGCTTCTCCCTCTGCCTGTGTCTCTGCCTCTCTCTCTCTCTCTCTCTCTGTGCCTATCATAAATAAATACAAATTAGAAAAATAAAATAAAAAGTTTGTTTTAGACATATGAGTTCTGATGACATACTCTGGTCTGACTGGTCATTTTCTAAAAGATATCAAAACATATTATACACATCAATCAAATCTCCAAACACCTCTGGGAGATATTATCCCCCTCCCCGCTTTTTAAAGAGCTGGGTAAAACAGGGAGATTCAATAACTTGTCCAAAGTTTCACTCCAAATCAATGCTGGATTATCGCATCCCCCTCCTAACCTCTCTAGGACACATCTTCCATATTGACCATTTACCTATTATTGTATAGATCTTTTCAGAGCTGTTTGTTTCCCTGATTTTAAAATGTTGTGTCAGTTTAGAATTCAAGAGATTTTTTTTTTCCTACTCAACTCCCAAATCCCAAGGCTGTGCTCTAGAGGCTCGCTCCTTGACTCTCTATCATAGGCAGGCATCCTGCAATATGGATCTTATGAAGCACTGTCCACAATGGCACAAATACCCAAAGGTAAACAGGTTGATTCCCACAGGCATGAGCTGGTAACCACCAGCACAATCCCCCCACCTCCTCCACCGGTTGTTTACAAAAACTGCTAAGCTGCTAAACCAGGATTCCACCCCCACTGCCCAACTGTAAGCAGCACTTGCTTCAGCCTCACAAGATGGTAGCTGATGGTGCACTCACCACCACACCAACCCAAAGTCCCTGGAGGAGGTTGGTAATTGCCCACTCCATGCCAAAAGGAAAGAAGTTGCCACTAATCAAAGATGACTAACCTCTGATCAAAATAATGAATTCTTAGTGACCCACAGCAATTCTGGAATTCTTAATGCCCAAAGAGGATGTTGTAAGGCTATTTTTGACACAATTATCCAATTATGTCACAGATCCAAGGAAGAGTTGCTAAGCTAGACCATTATTTCTTCCTTAAATGAGAAAGAAAAAAGCAAATATACCAAGTTTACTTAAGCACTGGAGTTTGCACCACAGAGGAATAATACGATGAATCCTACATCAATTATATGGAAGGCACCAAACGCTGAGCAGTTTTCCAGTTCCTCATGTATCAAATATGCTGAGCATGACTCCCGTGTCTTTCAACTATGGCCACACCTGTTCTAAAATGGAAGAACCAGAACATTCCAAAGAAAATAGTGTATCCTCCAATTTACATTAGTCACTCTGCTGCTTCCTTTTCATTAGTGAAAATAATTTAAGAGTCAAGTGTACTTTTGTTCCAGGCATACTTATGACAGTAGAGAAAAGTCTGTGTGCATCGTAAAAAGCAAGGTAAATTCTCTCCATATGTTCTCATGAATTTTTGGTGGTAGAAGAGGAAGCAGAAGCAGCACTATGTGAGTGGAAGACACTATGTGAGTGACCTATGGGATCTTTAGTGCAACAGAGCCATCCACTTGAAACAAAACCCAAAACAACTGTTTTTATGAACTTGCTTTAATGAATTCACCTGGCTATCAACCCTCTAGAGTAGCCAGATTTATGGTTTTAAATTTTCTCATAGTAAGGTTAAAAAGGTAAAAATAACAGGGGGAATTAATTTTAATAATGTTTTATTGAACTCAATATACCCAACATACTATCATTTCAACATGAAATGAATATAATAATGACTAATGAGCTAGTGGGAGAAACAGGATGCTGAGAAAAGCTAAAGACCAGAGGCAGCTTGAAAGAGAAGGAAAAATCTAGAAAGAAGAAAGACAGGAGCAAAGGAGGACAAACAGAACTGAAGGAGGGAGAAGAAAAGAATTCCTCCCCAGGCATGGTGGAATTCAGTTATAAATTCACACAGCAGATATTGGAATGCTCCCATGCAGGATTAGGTGCTGCTGATACAGAGAGGACAGACAGGGCTCTACATTTAAGCTCATATTCTGGTGAGGAAAACAGACTCACCTACGCAAACAACATTCTGGTAAGTATGAAGACATGGTTGTTATGCACTGTGTTCTGAGAGCACACATGGGGGTAGGGTAAGGGAGAGGGGCAGCTGGTTTTTTAAATGAAGGTTATTTTCTAATGAAATTTTAAATATATGTTCTAGAATATCTCAGGATTCTGAATTTTGCTTTGGAAACTTAGAAGAGTCATGATGACATGAAATATTTAAAAATTACATTTGGAGCCAGCATTAAAATTTCCATTCTAAGCTTTTTATCATCTTCAAATTAAACTGGGTATTTGGTCCAACAAATGAAGGTTGCAGAGTAGAGAAAAAGTAGAAAGGGGGGAAAAAGAACCCCTCCTGTTTTTCCATGGTTCCCAGTTTTTCAGGAGTGACATAAAATACTCAAAGGCTTCAGGCTGGAAAAAAAACCATGATCAACCCACTAATAATCCAATTATTCTTTAGAAGTAGCTGCGGAGTGTGAAAGACCCAGCTTCAAAATGTAGCTTCCCATGTACCAGTCGTATGACTTCAGGCAGCTCAGCTGACCTCTGCAGGTCTGCTTCCTCACCTGTGACAAACAAGGCCTACCTCAAGGGCCAGTTTTAGAGCTCTGCGAGGTGCCACACGCACCAGTACCCAGGAGCTCTATGGGGCTGTAGCCATCACAATTGTACTGCTTCTACCAGCAGTGTGGCCCTTGCTGAACCTCAGTTTGAGATATTTACTGAGTGAGGGAGGATGACGCTCCCCACTTTTATAGCTCAAAGTATTTCAGGGGAACCTACAGTCTATAAATTTTCTCTCTGAAAACTGCAGCTTTGACAGCCTCCTTGTGTGCTCTTTATCCGATCACCTCATGCTGCTGGCCTAAAGTCACATCAGAGCTTAAGGATACTAAGTACATATGAATTCTGCATCTTGGCAACCTGTTATAGTAATGACCCCCTATTTGTTCTTGCTTCTCTGTATCTACCCTTGGGTAGTCCCTTTCCACACTGACTCTGGTTTGGCCAGCAGGACAAGAGCAAACTTGAAAAGTGCTGACCCACTGGGGCTTGCCCTCTCTTGCTGTACCGTGGAACCCCTAGAACACTACATGAAGAGGCCCTGGCTAGCCTACTGAGGATAAGAAGACCATATGGAACAACGATGCACCATCTGTTGCCAAGGCCCCCACACCAGCCAGCATGATAACCACCTATATGTGAGGGAGGCCATGCTAGACCATGTGGCCCCAGCCAAGCTGCCAGCTGACTACAGAGACCAGCCAGGCCAGCCCAAACTAAAAGAACCACCTAGGTGACCTATGGAATTGTAAGACATAAATACGCTTATTTTGCTAAGTCACTAGTATTAGGTGATTAGTTACACAGCAAAATCTTACTAATATACATATCTTCAAAAAGTCTGTAAACTTCCATCCCTATATCTCCAAATTAAACCTTTTAAGACTAATTGATGTCTGTTATTCTTAAAATTCCTAATTCTGATTACTATATTTACTTTGTCATAACAACTATTATGTTAATCGAACTAAAAACAGTGATATGGTCTGATTATAAAACTGCTAAAATAAAATAAATTCTCTATTTATTCCATCCTATAATTTGAAACAAATAGATGTGGCCTTCAACGCTACAACTACACATACATGCTAAAGAGATGATTCTTTCATCCTAAGTTTATGAGTGATTATATCGGCATAGTGTATAGCTATTCAATCTGTCTTAATACTTCAGAAATGGATTAGAGTACCAATTTACCCACACATGAACAGAAAAATCTAACTTCAAAAGAAAAAAACATTTTCTCTTCAGTATTTATTTTTTTTGTAAGCTAAACAAACAAAAAAGGACATACATAGTAGCAAACTCTTAAAGACAGTTCTTTTTAAAACCTTGGTATGTGGGGATCCCTGGGTGGTGCAGCGGTTTGGCGCCTGCCTTTGGCCCAGGGCGCGATCCTGGAGACCCGGATCAAATCCCACATCAGGCTCCCGGTGCATGGGGCCTGCTTCTCCCTCTGCCTGTGTCTCTGCCTCTCTCTCTCTGTGACTATCATAAATAAATAAATAAAAATTAAAAAAAAATTAAAAAACAAAAACAAAAACAAAAACCTTGGTATGTGGTTAATTCAGCATGGTTTTATTTTTTTTTTAAGATTTATTTATTTATTTGAGAAACAGAGCATGCAAGCACAAGCCGAGGTGGGGGTGCAGAGGGAGGGAATCCTCAGGTAGACTCCCCACCAAGCACAGAGCCTGAAGCAGGGCTCAATCTCAGGACCCTGAGATCATAACCTAAGCCGAAATCAAGAGTCAGATGCTGAACAGACTAAGCCAACCAGACGGCCCTATTCAGCATGATTTTGTAACATAATTTACATCAGGACTGTGAACTTAAAGGCAGTATTATTACTGCTGTTATTTGAATACTTATTTTAACATAGTTGATGTTTTAAAGTATCTTAGAATAACACAGGGTAATTTTACCCTCTGCATACATTCTTAATGGTCATTCATTTAACAAACATTTGTTGAACAGCTGGTTCCTGCCATCACGAAACTCCCAAGCATCTGCAACATTTATATGAATGTCAGGATGCCCATACTATTTTCTGGCTAGCCAGAAAATAGTGTGAGTGACAATTCTGCCTTCAAGAGTCTTATCATCTGGTATAAGACATGACAATAAATAGAAGTTTTTCTACCACAGAAGAGAGTAATCAGTAAGTGTCTCAAAGGGTAAAATTTCATTCCATTAGGAATCTAATTAGAGGCTTCCAGTTGGGTTAATCGAAAAAGGCATCTTGGAGGAAGTGACATCTGAATTGAGCCTTTGCACAATGGTGAGCTTTTAAGAGCAAAAGGAGTTGAAAGAACACTACACAGAAACAATGACCTAAATAAATAAAGAAAAATGGAAGCTATGATATGTATCTGGGGAATAGACTGGATTCAGAATTCATCTCTAAATGTCTGGGTGCAAATTCTGGCTTTATCATCAGTAGTCATTGACCTTGGGCAACAGTGCCTTAGTTTCACCATATTTAAAATGGGGATAGTAATACACACTTCATATGGTTATTATGAAGATTAAACAAGTTTATGTTTGTAAAGCACATAAAAACACTGGAGCTTCATATTTTATTGAATAAGTTCATGTATTTATGCATACACAGCAAGGAAGATAGACAAATGTGCATGAATATAAGATATAGTTGTTCCATTAACAAGAGTAACCTGGTATGTAGTAGGCACTAAATATACTTTTGTTTTCCCTTTGTATGGACATGAAGAATCACTTCAGAGCATAGGGTCAGATATGTTTTCATGTGCCCCAACATTAACCTCCATTCAGTTAAAAGAGCAGAGACCCTCCCTCCTCTACTTTGAAACTAGGAGTTTCCTCTCTCTTGGGGCAGCACTTCCGCACTTGCTGATAGAAGATGCTCTGCTTGAAAGTGCTACACAGAAACAGCCCAGCTGCCAAATTTGAACAAATCTTACTTTATACACCTTAAATGAAAAAAATAAGTATAAGCTTATTAAGTACAATCTGAACTTCTAAAATTTGTATAATTTGTAGTATTCAGGCTAACCTAAAACAGCAAACAAATGTACTGTAATTTGAGATCTTAGGAAAAACAACATTAGATTTAAAGCTACAGGTATTCCAAAAGGTAGGTTAGGGGTCCCTGGGTGGCGCAGCGGTTTGGTGCCGCCTTTGGCCCAGGGCACAATCCTGGAGACCCAGGATCGAATCCCGCATCGGGCTCCTGGTGCATGGAGCCTGCTTCTCCCTCTGCCTATGTCTCTGCCTCTCTGTCTCTCTCTCTCTCTCTCTCTGTGACTATCATAAATAAATAAAAATTAAAAAAAAAACAAAAACAAAAGGTAGGTTAACAAAATCTTACTAATACTACTCTAATTTGGCTTTAAGGTAGGCATATATCCACACTGAAAATACTTTACACAGTCTTACTACTTGAATATATTAACAAAATGTTAAACTGAGTTCATTTTTAAGGTGAAAGTACTAAAGATACTTAAGCATACTAAAAAAATACTGCTAAAAGTACTTGAGAATAGTCTATGTCAAAATAAGTAAAAATGTTCTGCAATCTCATACTACTTATTTGTTTAGAAACCTCTTTCTCACAGATAATTTGCAGGCAAATTTCACACCCATCAGAAATCAAACTTTGTTGCCACTCTAGTGTTGGTGACCACCATGTGAATTAATGCGCTGTGCTGAACTTGATCATAAACACCCACTTCTCCATTTATTTAGTCCAATTATAAGAAAACTATTAAGGATCAGGCAACAAGCTACTGACCTCCAAAAGCTATTGGAACATTAGCAACAAATATTAATTTTTGTTATTCCATTTCACACTGCTTCTTGGCAACCAAGCTGACTTCAAAAGCATGTAAGAATCTTTTTAGAGTAAGAGCTACTCCACTTTCTGACTTGAGATTTAAAACTTTGTAAGGAACCCACTTCACAGAGCTGTATTGCTAAGATCATCCAAATCGAAGTTTACTGGCTTTGCCACCATTGGTAAGTTACCTAACAGAATTCTCTCCACCCACCTGTGAGATGAGGACAAGAATCCACTTCCAAGGATTGTTGAGAAAATGAGTTAATGCACATACAGCACTCAGAACAGTACACAGCACAGATTTCTATATGTAAAATATGTTTATATATATTTTTAGGTATATAAAGTAACAATGAAGGGGAATTCCAGGTTAAATCACTTATATGTTGAGGTTCTGGATTCTGAAGTTCCCTCTCTATTTTATTTCGGATGAACAGGGAACTTGCAGGATAAGAATGAAAGGATCCTCATAGTAACAGTCCCAGGCCACCGTTTTATTATTAATAATTTCAAATATGTTTTCATGGGTATCTGAGCATTTGTAAGGTTTGTTTGAAGGGAAAATGCTCAAGTGTGTGGTAGGACACAACACTTGGTACCAATTTACCAAGAGACTTGGGACATCAAAAATATATTCTCTAACTTTTGATAGCTTTGCTGTCAATGGATATGGTTTGTTGATATATTCATAAGAGATTCGAATTTCACTCGGCTGTAAGAACCCAGTAGGTGGCTAGTTTCTTCCCTGGCAGGGGAAGTCTCTTAATGACAGACATACATAATTATATCTTTTAAGCACTAAATAGTTCATTTAAAACAGTGCTCCAATGAGTGCTCACTTTTCAAAGCAGCAAAAAAACAGAGTATTAACAACTCAGCTCTAAGAATTATAATAGCCTAGTAATTATAATAATCCAAGAAGCCATTCTCAGAAACACCAGAGACTAGCTCCCCTCTGTAGGCCCTGGCTCACCAAAAAAAAGAGTGGGCAAACAGTACCAGGATATCTGTGGTTGATTGTAGACTGTAAAATAATAGACAATTATCCATTTTAGACCTTAATGTGGTCATTGTAAGGGTTGGCTTCTTCTTTTTCTTGACATTATATTTTCCTGTCTTTCCAGTTGCCAGGAAAGGGTGAATTTCCCAATTCTTTGACTCACATCTCTTCCTAAAAATGCTCTTAAAAAAATGACTAAAAATTACTCTTTTTAGTTTCACAGATTGAGATTCTTTTATGTGAACATATTTAAAAGAAGGGCTCTTGATCCACATTTCTTTAAGGCTTTTGAAAATATTTTTTAAATAAGATGAATGGAAGCATAAAAGGGCATTTTAATTCATTCCAACTGACATTCTGATCTTGAATAAGAAAAATCTCATCCTTATTATTCAAGCCTGTTAAGATTATAAAATAAGAAGCCAGTTAGACAAAGGGTATTCTAGTTGTTTATACACAGCATATCAGAACGATGTACACCCAATTCATGACATCAGACTAGTACTCACTGTTCTTTGTGTAAGTGTTAAATAAGCCATCTCTTCTTCTATGAGTGTAGTGGTGGGTCAGTGTTCAGGAAAAATAATTAAGATAAAAGGCAAATAAACAACCCAAAACATTCTCCAAAAAGCATCCAAAAGAATCTGTCTCTGATCTTTTACTAAAGTAATCTCTTCCAAAATCACCATTAAATTAATCCTGGGCACTGAATTTGAATAAATTCACGTTTGAGAATAAATCACGTTTAAGTTACTGTCCTTTAAAATGTATTGGACAATTCTGAGACACACAGAGAAAAAAAGTATTAAAAATAGCCAACAGAAGGACTAGGCAGTCAATAAACATAAAGGCCATGGGTGAGATCAAAATTAGAAACATATAATGTCTGAAGAAGTGTCCTTATAAGGGTATCTTTAAATCAGTAACTAAGTTAGGATAATCCACTGGGAAAAATAAAGTTGCCATGATCATAATTATGGTTGATTCTCCATCTCTCATTCAGAAATCCCTAGAGAGTCTCAGGAGACAAACATGATACAACTTTAAGCTATTACATTTGATAATGTTCAAT